AGCTGGAATAAATTTTCGCTGAAAAGGCTTTTTGGGTGATGGAATCTATTTTCACTAATTTTTGATGAGTGAATGTGAAATATAAGAAAAAAGTTATATTAGCTAGATTTTATTATCACTGAATCATCCCTTCAACAAAAATTAATTCAAAGCAAAAATAAAGTATTTTACAGTAGGCAACATCAACAGATCGATGTAGGAAAAAAAACTCTTTATTTTCTGTCAGCAATCCCCAAAAAATATATGCCCATAAATATTGATCATGAACATAAATTTTACCTAATTTTCAGGAATGGTGCTGAAACTATGTTTTTCATCATTTTATCATTTCAGGACTGGTTTATCATTTAATGTGTGTGTGTCAGATATTGAAATAAACAATATTTCAAAATATAAACAAGATTTTTTTTATAGATATTTTTATGGGCAACTCTCCCACCCAAACCCCAAACTGAAGGATTTAAAGTTTTTTTTTTTTATCTTACATGTCAATCAATCCTGAACAGTTATTCAACACATTACAGCAATCATAGAATTAGGCAAAATTTTGTTGATTGTTAATGTTCATTATTCTCATGGAATTAAAAAAATATTACATGCCGAGTAAGGTCATTTTTACCCACACGTAAGGAGAACATTTGCCTTCTTTACATCAGGTAACTCATGAGATGAGTAAAACTACAAACACCTGACTAATAAATGATTTTTTTTTTAAAGTTCAATATCAAAATGCTGCGCTTTCAGAAAGGAATATGACATTGAGATATACTTACTCCAGCAAAATTTACCATCTTCAATTGTTTTGTTCTGTTTTACATTCAATTTTATGAATTGAATGTGAATTCGCAGTGAATGGAAATATATATTTTTAATGAAGTTTTTACAACCCCCCCCCCCCCCATAATTTAAAACATAATACTCACATTCGAGATTACACAAAGATATTGTGTATGGTTATTCTTTGAGGTTAACAATTAGAAACCCAAAACATTAGTTAAAAAACATTTTATCAATTACAGCAACAACATTTTTTGTCATTGGTATAATAAAAAACAAATTTGAATGACCTTGGTGTTGTTCAATCAGCAATCAAGCTTGTGCATGAACGATACACAAAAACAATAGTGAATTACAATTTGAATCTACATACAATGTATATGTATATAAATATTTACAAACAAATTTGAGTTAACAACATCCATGGACAATACAAAATGAGAGATCAAATTGCTAAAAATAACTACATTGTATTAAGAAAGCCAAAAATTTTATATTTTTGTTTTAGAATATGATGCAATACCTCATCCTCAGAATCACTTGTGTCTGCAGGCTGTATTCCACTAGGATGATCTAACAATATTTTTTCTTTATCAGCATGAAATTCATCAACTTCATCATACATAAATTCTCTGGATTGTGGATCAGGATCTTCTATGTTCTCATAGGCCCTCTCATCATCACTGTCATACTCTTGTTTTTTGGGCTTTGCAAAACGCCCTTGGCTTCTAACAGGAAAATATAATATTCATAGAACAAGTTTTTGTATCACAGATGTCTTGAAATGGATTAATTGTTATTTTAATGATTGTTATTTTTTAAAAGCTTAAACATAAAGAAAAAAAAGACATGTCATTGTCTTTTAATGTAAATCAGAAAAAAAAAAGTTTTTTTAGTTTTTTTTTTATAAATTTGGCTATTTCATTAGCGTCAGCCAGTATCTAAGTATGGCTGTTTGGAACTAGCAGAAAATGAATAATTGTTTACAGCTTGGTAAATCATAAAAAAACACCCAAAATGTGGAAATATCTATTTTTGTATTGTTTCTTCTAGCCAAACAAAGATCGTTATGCTCCTGTGGTGTCAGATACACAATTCTTACAAGTAATAATGGGCCAGTTGTAAGGATAGAATAGGATAGGATATTTTATTTGGCACTTAAACAATACAGAGCTAGTGTAAAGTCCAAAATAACACAAACAAAATAAGCTAAAACAATTCTAAAACATGAAAAACAAATTTTGCTAGACAACTACAAATGATCAGAACTTGAAAAAATCAAAACAAAAATATCCTCTCTAGCTAATAGTTGTAGATGGCAGAATCTGTCTTCTCTTTTAATGCCTCTATGTCGACCTTTATGTGTTGTTATGTGTTTTGAAGATGTGTAACATAACACTCGGTACAACAAACACGATTGCTCGAATTGAAGAGGGTGATAGTACTTTGAATAAAAATTTGTCTGAGGGGGAAATAAATTTACTACCATTTCGTAATATCCTCAGTTTTGCATTGATAGTAAATTTCAACCCCCTTCAACAATAGTTACACGCAAAGAACAGTTCATGTCACCAAAACAAAACAGAAGTTCAGTTCATCCGTGTCCAAAGGAAGATAGTCATGCGTAGCTGTACCGTCTATTGCTTGGCAATCTTTTCAATTCATAAAGTTGCTCACCTTCTTTTCGGCATATTTTTCTATTAGTAAAGAGCTCGTAGGAATCGAAAATTGTTCTACGCACGTTTTTCTCTCGAAAGGTCAGAGTTCAGAGGTTAGTCACACGCCCTACAAAATCTCGTGTTTAACGAGACTTTGTGAAACTTAGCAACTATCAACAAACCTTCGGTTTTCGGAAATATACGCGAATTTTGAACAGGTAAGAACATCGTTTGAAGTACTTGTTATATTTTTAGGTCAAGCATACTAAGATGAGTATACAATGTGGTTGCCAGAATGTAATAACTGGTTGTCTTCCTGTAATCAGCCCAGTCGTACATCATGTTATTTAGACAAAACGTAACTCCAACAGTTAGGTTGTTCTCAAGACCATTCTCAGCTGGTGATGTGCTGTGGTGGCAGATCTCGGTCAGTTTGTTGGATATTCAGGTCAACAAACCTTACTTTTGTAACTTGAGCTGGAACACTAACTTACTTCACGTTATGTGTTGTGTGGCGTTACGTTGTGATTTGTTTCGTGTTGTTCATCGGTTATTAACAGTACTACATGCTACATTCAAGTTCAGTTTATTGCAAATTTTAGGTGGCTTCTAGTTAAAAATGTGTGTTCTACTGTATACTCTGATCCGCAGAATATTATTTTTGACTCCTGTGAGCACAAATTATTTTCGGAATTTAAAACAGTTATTCAACTATGCAAATTATTGTATTTTTATTTTAGTTTATGCATAGACCTTTTAGAGGGTCTATGGTTTATGCAAATTAGCTATGTTTCACTGATGGAGATGAATTTGTTCACTTGCTCTTCTTGTGTCGTTTTTTTGTCTTTTTATTGGTATTTTAGACATTTTTAATACATTTGGTGTCCTTAATAAATCCATTATACAGTAAATGTAGTTTTTGGTTTATATTCACTTTTAATATTGAAGATTCACTTCTCATATAGCAAATGCTGTAGTTGATATTTAATTTCTTTTTTTAAACAAAAAAAATTAAAATTGACTTTTTTTGACAAAGACGAGATTAGCTGAAACAAAAAGTGGCCATAACTAGTTTATCTGTTTTTTTTTAGTTTTATTCTGCGTCAAGATGTCTGATCCATCCAGTGTGCTTGATCGTTACACTGAAGTGTGTGAGGAGCTCGGTCAAGAGCCATCACCCTTCATTCTCAAGGTCATTGACATGGAAAGGGAAGACCAAATTTTGTAAGTCCACTTGACATATTTGTTATACACATTTTCTGACTGTAAAATACAAATGTCTGTTTATACATTCTGTTCCACTGACTTGCAGGTATATTTAATATGCCGATAATTTTCAACAAGGATGTGACAAAATATGATATATATCTGTTCTAGTCATTGTATATTTTATCTAATAATTAAAATAGTGATTTTATCTTTGAAGATTGTCTTTCCTTTGAGTAACTTTATATTACAAATCATCATGTTTTTCCATTGCTTCACCAATGCAGCGTTAGTAAGAGAATTTGCTAGTCAGTTTAAAATTGTCAAACGTGTCAGGGGAGATACCATTATTTTGAGGTCTAGACCACTATATCCTTTTAAAAAACATTTATAACATAAATATTTGTGTTTGTGTTATGCAATAAAATAAAACAGTTGTTTGAAACATGTTCCCTGTTTTATTTTTGGTCTCACAATTTTATTCTGTTATAACTGTTTCCTTTATATATATAGTGTATGCACCTGCATTTGCCCCTGGAGCTAGTCATTCTGTAGAAAAGATATCAGATATAGATTATATTGTAAAGTCCACTGTATTTAACGACACATTATGGACACACTGGTTTATCGTGTTCATACAAAATTTTGTCGGTGCCATTAGTAAAAGTACTGGACACTTGTCCGAAAGCAACATTGCTAACTGACTAGCAAATTTGTTCATGAATGTGCTGCATTGGTATTTGAATGCTGCGCTGTGTGAGGTAAATATCGATTGATTGATATGAAGCTAAATGATATGATGAATTGTAAACAATGTTAATGATAGAACGACAGTCTTGTCATAATCAATTAATTATTGCACTAACATAATATGTTTATTGTTATAATCAATTATATCTGTTTTTGTACTTTATTACTTATACTAATGACATCACCAGGAGAGTCAGAAAAGGGAAGTAAGTAAACCAGTATGTTTTATGGTGTACAGTATTTACTAACATATGGTATATTACACAAGTATTTGATAGATTAAGGTATGCATTTGTAATGTACATATGTGTGATATGCAGTGAAGATCCCATTCAATATGAGTTCAATGTACATTTATGTGTCAATCAAACTTATTCTGACCAATGGCATCACAGATTTTACACAGAAATAGAAATGTGCAAGGTTATCACAATTCTTTATGAATACATGCAAAACATTTTAAACTGACTCACACATTTTTATTTAGTATTTATAGAAATTATCATCTGACAATTCATGTGACTTCAAATTTGGATCTTCATTTCACAGCACACAAATTGCATATCCTTATCTAATAAATCCTTGATGCATATAAATATATACCACCTGTGGATTTATTGGTTGGGTTACTTACCTCATGTTTTTACCTCATGATAAGAGAGCTCTTCTAAAAGCTATGATACATAGGTCATCAAGATGCAACTTTTATTGACATGCAGTGTTGCAAATTGACCTGCAACTTGTTGCCATGACACACACATCAACTTTCAATTCATCTAAGGAATTTAAAGTATTAGTCATATAATTGGGTACTTTCATTCATCAATCATTCAAACCCTATGCATGCTGTAGATAACTATAGTTAATTTCACAGTGTTTGCCAAAAGTGAAAATAAATTTATGGTTTTCAGTTGAAATACAATTTAGATAAAGAAAATGTCCAACAGTATGCAAAGTTTTAGAATTGAGAAGACACCCATTTCTGAAGCCTAAATTTATAAAATGGTCGTAGCATATAATTATGTAATTGAAAATCAGATACAGTGTATGTAGTGGTTAAAAAACATATCAATATACATGGCTAGCTGAATCATAATGAAGGATATAGTGTCTTTTAAAAATAAGACGCATGGCGAACAAAATATAACTTTTATTGTATATCAATAAACAAGGCCTTGGAAATTACACTTGTGTATGAGGCAAGTGAAAACAAAATTAAACTCTACAGAGCAGAAGAGTTACTGTTTATGTTTTTATTTGCATTAATATTTTCGCATTTTCATAAATGTGAGAGAATTTGTGAAGACGAGATTTAATGAAAGACTCACTATATTATAGCATTAAAATAAATCAACTTGAAAAGTCCCAATTTTGAAATAATCACCAAAACACAACTTTTTTGATTAAAAGGACATCACATCCAATCATAAATTAACCCAGCCTTAAATGTTGATTAAACAGTTGCCATTGCATTCCTGTAAGTTGAGAGAAACGCATCATTAATTACCATAGAATTCACAATTAGAGATTAACCCTCCAAAAAACAAAACTATCTTTTGGTTTAATTATGTGTCACTCCTGAAATAAATAAAGTTTCTAAAAAAAAACTGATTGAATCATCGATTTGCTAAATAAAAAAAAAAAATTTGTTTGGTCAGTTTTCCCAAAAAATTCGAGAGTTTATAAAGTAACAACATGTGCTGCTATAGAGAATGCCTGGATGACATTAACATGAAACTGCACCAGAAAAGTTGTTTTTTCAGCCTTTCTAGCAGATTTGATGCCCCAAAGATCTCAAACAAAATGTTCACTACAAACTGGTTTCTCTGAAAGAATTTGTGAACGTTTGTATCGTACAAATTGAAATCAGCCTTATATGGGCAAGAGAACTATTAGGTGCCTTATATGGGCAAGAGAACTATAGGTGCCTTATATGGGCAAGAGAACTATTAGGTGCCTTATATGGGCAAGAGAACTATTAGGTGCCTTATATGGGCAAGAGAACTATTAGGTGCCTTATATGGGCAAGAGAACTATTAGGTGCCTTATATGGGCAAGAGAACTATTAGGTGCCTTATATGGGCAAGAGAACTATTAGGTGCCTTATATGGGCAAGAGAACTATTAGGTGCCTTATATGGGCAAGAGAACTATTAGGTGCCTTATATGGGAAAGCGTATTTTCTAGGCCTAATTGCATGTATGCTGCTTGTCAATTGCATGTGCTGACGTAAGGCTTATAACATTCATTTGTAAAAACAATTCATAGTAACTTGTGTGATTATAGATAATTTTTTTTAAAGATTTATATAGTGTTAATTTTATGTTTATGTTTAGTGTGTAAACTATAACATGGGTGTTTGCTGTGGAGTGTATTTTATGGCAGGGGTTTGTGTTTTTTTGGACAGTAACTTTTCTATTTCAGCTCTTGTACGGACATTATGCTTTCTATATTTGTTTCTGTATACTGTATACATCCAAACTATTTTTTATTTTAATATTCTCTAAAAAACAGAAAAGTACAATAATCAACACATCAGAATGGGACAGATGCTGCAACCAAAAATAAAAAAATTGTCATATTTACAACTGTATGTACAAAACTTGAAATTGAAGTATACTTTTTAAAAAATGTGCATAATTTGGATTAATATGCTGGTAAATCGATTGATTATTAAAGGAGGCTGGTTTTTGTGATTTATTTTACGATCTCAGTATTACAGCACAATTATACATACAGCCTGAATCTTTGGTATTTTGGACCCGATTACGGTAGCAAAGCCTATACTT